TTGTCCACTTCAGCTGCTGCGTGGGAAGTGAAAGAAGAGGCACCCAGCAGCAGTGTGAATTGCTGCCTGCATTGTCTCCAACACCGAGCGCAGGCGTTCGTCGTGAAGTACCTGAAACCGAGGAGTCTGTCAGTGGGGTGCACATGGAAGGTGACCAGAAGTACTCGCCTACCAACGGGGCTGCGTCGACGATGGAGCAGGCAGGCAAGGCGGATGAAGACTCTTCGCGGAATGTAACCACCAACGATTCGATGCAGCACAGCATTGACCGTGAAGAGGACACGGATGTCCTCACTGCCGTGGGCACGAACAGCAGCACAGACCCAGCAACTGCCCACCGCAATGATAACGTGTCGGGTGGCGCTAATGCCGCACCGACTCATTCGAGCACAGCGCCTGTGGAAACCAAGATCCCATCGGAGCTCAATGCAACAATACCCTCGGACCATGAACTTTTGCTTGAGCACGGGCAGCTCGGCGATTTGGCGGCCATGGCTCTAATTGGTGACAGCACCGTGCACGGATGTGTGTCTCGGGTGTTGTTGCTGCTGCTTCTGGGGCTGTGGGGCACTGCGGCTCTCTGCTGAGGTGTGAGGGAGGGTGGAATTGCGGCTTTTCGTGGAACAACGAATGTGCAGCTTCCCAGCACTACGCACTCAACTTTGTGAAGGATACTTTTTTAAAAAATTTTCTTTTCATTTCTTTTTTTACTTTTTTTGCCCACACGCGGTGCCGGCCTCATTGCTGTGCGTCCCACGGACTGCACAGGAGGAGGAGTGAAGGAGCAGGCCGGATGCCGCATGGAATGTGAGGGATTTTGTGTGGGCTCGTGGAATACTGTGATTTCCTTTTCTTGTTTTTCTGTGGGCAGTATGTATGAACTCAAAAACACGGTCGTATTGTGCTGCAGAGAACATGAAATGGAATTTCCGCCGAATCAATTGTTTTTTTTCTTTTGGTAAATCACTAGAGTTTCGTCCCCGTCCGTGCCGTGTCTCATGTCACTGTGTGTCTCCGTGCCCTTTTATTGTCTCTCTGCTGGCTGCGCTGCTGACACGCCCCCATTTCTTCGTATTTTTCTTTCCTGCTAGTGGCACCGATGGTCCGCGACGACGGTTGTTTGCGCTCCCCTCTGCGATGGCACGAGGGTGACTGGGCGCCGGTCTGCTGAGCGCACTCGAAGTGAGCGGATGGTGTGCGCCGTGCCTCACTGTGAGTGTGGGACGCCACCCGCCACCGCCTGCTGTGAGGCGGAGAGAAGTGAAAGACTGCGCCGTGGACTTGGACGTGCCCCGTCCCTCTCGTCGCGGCCGTGTGTGTGTGTGTGTGTGTGTTCTGGATGCCCAAACCCATTTGCCCGCAAATGCGACGGCAGAAAGATGTGATTGCGTGGAGGCGCCACTGGCACTTGAATCAAACCGTGTCTGTGGCACACACGCAAAGAGGAAAAAGGAAGGAAGGAATATTCGCCTGGGCTGCTGGCCACCAAACGATTCAATACAAATAAAATACGACGAAAAAGAAGAATGCGTAAATGGAGAAGCAGCGGGTTGGCCAAATCCTCGTTGTTTGCTCCGCATATTTATATATTCTGGTGGACCCACTCTCGTGACACGTTGAACGCTTTATTCGGATTGGATACATATGTATTTATGGCTTACGAAGTGTTACTTTTGATCCTCGAACAATCGAGCGCATTTGCGTTGTTCTTTGGAAAACGAAAGCAACATGTTTAGGGCGTGTCGGGCACGTTCCGGGGTACCATGCGGCTTTGCCGCCAGGAATCCTCGCGCAAGGCGCAAAGCACCACGGTGCAGTTCCTGATCCCGGAACCGTTGCCGCAGCCCTTCTTTTCATTCCTTTTGCCTTGCCCAATCCCGCCAGAAAGGCCAAAAACAAAAGCATTTGGAATGTTTGTTCCTATTTTATGGATCTTTGATTAGCCCGGTTCTGGGAAGCAGGGAGGCAGTGGTGTCCGGACGGTTTTTAATATTTTTTTTGCTTTTGCCGTCCCGCCCGCCCACTTTTTGATCCCCACCCTGCGGCGGGGTCGTGTGGCTGCAGGAGCCCAAAGTCTGCCACTTCGTAAGTAATATAAATATACAATAAATATATATATATATATATATACACCATCCGAATAGAGTGAACGGGTCACAATTGTGGCTAACGGATGATGTAAATATATATATGTACCTGGTTGCTTTTAAGCATTGAGGATATGGTGAATCCATTCTCATTCCATGCATCCCTTTTCTTATTTCTATCTTGTTTGGTTTCTATCAATGGTGAATTCAGGATTCTGCAAGCGGCCCAGAAGATTATTCTGTGGTTTTTTTCGTTGGAGCCCACGGCCAGAATATGAGTGTGTTGTGCTGCGCCCGCCGGAGGGAGGAGGGAAGGGCTGCTGTGGCGGGCGGGTTCCTGCAAAGGCGTTTTGCGGCGCCGTGTCCGTCAATCGTCCGGATTTCCCCAACAGCGGGCCTCCTTGAAGGAATAGTGTGGCATAACCGATGTGGATTTGCCGTTTTCCCAAAGCAATTTCCAAAAAAAAAAAAAAAAAAAAAAGAGGAGCCGAGAAAGAGAAAAACAAAGGCGAGGACAAGGGAACCATTAAAATGCCTTCAGCTGGCGGCTAATTGTTTCCAGAAGCTTGCCAAAAGGATCGGGGTGCTGAGGGTAGTAAAAGGCTTGGCAAGGGCGTGCTCCGAAATAGCATGCTAACGCGCAAAGCCAGAGGCCACGGAAGCACCCAAACTCACACACAGACACACACAAAAAGCAAAGGGCTAGATATATAAATCACCATTTTTCATTTTTTTCCTTCTCGTTGATCATTCTTCTTTCCTTTCCACCACGCATATATATATATATATGTCGGCGTTTGCGTTTGTATGCGCTTCGGCGTCATATTGTGGATCGTGCGGTGTCTCACAACAAGGTCATATACATTCAAAAGTAAACCTAGTAAAAAAAAAAAAAAAAAAAAAAATACATGCCTCAAAAGTTGTGCGTTACACGACTCCAGACTCGTACGTCGGAATCATGTATTTGATATTGATATAGGCGTCCTCACCACCGTACCACTCCAGCAAATTAAGCGTCTCATTTATAAGGTCGCTGATGTTTTGCTTCTTGTTCTGTGAGAACTCGATGTGGTCACCTAAGTTCTTATTTCGGTCCTTGAAAAGGTTGAAAATGGGGAGAATCTGCCTGTAATACGGGACAAGAGCTGCTCCAACGTTGTCTGCGCTCAAAACGAGCTTCTGAAGGACTTTCAAAACGTTGACAATGACTGTTGGATGGCGTGTGTTGAGTGCCGTTTTAATAGGCACAATAAGCTGAGGGATGGTCGGAAGAATTTTCTGCCCTCCCTTTTCAAGGAGATCGTAGCACCCTTGTAGGGCTACAAAGCGAAACGGCTCCTCAAGTTCTCGAAGTCCATCAAAGAAGATGGGCAAAAAGAAATGGTAATCCAACGTAGCCACATTCACTCGCCACAAAAGTGAACGAGTTGCGGCTTGTTGAATGGACAATGGGAGATCCCCACGTTCATAGTGTGTGCGAAAATCCGTGGGTGGGATCTTCTGCTTCTTAAAGGCCCCCGCCTTCCCTGGGCCTTTTGGATCGCCAAAGCGCCCGTCGCTCTGAGAGCTGGAAGCCTTGCCGGTCCCATGGAAGGTGCTGAATGTCATACCACCCGTTCCCGTGCGGCCCACGCAAATAACTTTCGTCGGCACATTCTCCACCTCCGTTGCCTCATCCCCTCTGCATCCCACACCGCCTGCGCGCTTTTCACCTGTCGCCGACGCCTTTTTGGAGGCGGTGGGCACAACAACCGAGCCCTTGAAGACCTTGGCCTCGCTTCTTGAGCCATGACAGGGCGGAAAGGGACCAAAGGGACTCTCCGCCAGTGGCGGGAGCAGTTCCCTGTCTCGCAGCAGTTGTTTCCGTTCCGCACGAGAAAAAGCCATCACTTTGGTCTCACCGTGTTGTTTCTCTATTTCTTTATATGTGCGTGCTTGTTTTATGTGTTTTATGTGTTTTTTTTTTTTTTTTATCCCACCCCTCTTCTGTTCTATTCCTGTTTACAACACACCCTGCAGCGCTTCCGATGAAGGGGGACACCAAAACTGATCAAATGACAAAAACCAAAAAAGGAAAAAAAAAAAAAAAAGGAATAAAGAGGGCAATTGGTAGTAACGGCGCAGGCATAAGCGACACGCACGTGTGGATGCCGCAGACGGTGCGTGTTTGTTGTAACTTTGGGTGTTTAGACGTGACAGCAATCGCGGAGACTGAGGACGCCCAATAATGGCACTAGCATGGGTGATTTCACGTAAAAAACTCAATCTAAAAAGAAAGAACTCATGCAAAAAAAAAAAAAAAAAGCAATAACGGCAGCAGAAGCACTGCTAACAAACAAAGGCGCGCAGACAGAAAAAAAAGGCAGGTCTCCTTTTTTTTCTTTAAAAATACAAAGTCCAAACATGTTTTTTTTTTTTTGGTTTTTTTTTTTTTTTGCAGGGTCACCACCTTTGGAGATGAGGATGAAGAGAGAAAGAAATACAACCAAAAGAAAAACAAAGAAACAAAACTTTGCGTAGAACTGTGCGTGAGTCAGACGGTGATCCTGGAAACACATATAAATTATTTATTGCCTCCGTGCCTTTGCGCATCCCACCTCGATGCCCAACCGCCTACCGCCAGTTCCTCTTTTTTTTTCCCTCCTCCTTCCCCCTTTTTCATTTTCGAGAGCCCAATGAATTCGTGTCCGGGTCCTCCTGAGGTTCGTGAACCATGGTTTTGTCCCGACGCAGTTGACGGCGGCCACTCGCCCAAGCAGCCCACAAGCGAAACGCGTGGGAAATGGGAATGTTACAAATTTTCCCATGCAGCAGCTCCAATGTCGGCAAATGTGCGACCTGCCATTGTTTTCGTAGAGATAAATTACCTCTACGAGGGGTGCCGGTGCTCCCTTCACATTCATTGCCATCTCTAGGAGTGCTACGAATCAAATACTGGAGGTCAAGCGAACTTTCCTCCCTGTCTATGCGTTCACGTTCTTCAGCAATTAATTTCGCACCAACTGCCAGCGCCTCCACATTTCGTCGAATTTCCGTTATATTCACTGTGTTGCTATCCAAAATGTCTTTAAAGCCAACGTGTTCCACTTGTAGTGCACGCAGGGCCACACCAACTTCATGGAGTTCCTTCATGAAGTCATCCATTTGTTTTTTTGCACAAATCCCTGCCTTTGAATACATACTCAGACTTCCCTCACAGGCGGCGTCTTCAACAGCCACGGAAGGGGAACCCATCATTTCTAGCCTGTGCCAAAAATCAACCACAAACCCCGAAAATTCTCCAAATCGGTGCTGAATTGCCGCCGCCACCTGTCGTAATTCCTGTAAATTTGCTTCAAGTGCCTCATCGCGCTCTCCCAACAGCCGGATTTTTTCAACGGCTCGTGACATTAAAGACATCCACCGTTGCCGTTCCTCGTTGTGCAACTCCCGCTCCACCTCCAAACCTTCGGAAAGAAGAGTCAAGATCCCAATCACCTCACGCAGCGCATTCGGGAGGCCAAGGTCCATCACATCCTTTCCACCGGCGTTCGTATGGGTACGTGTTGCCATAAATTTCAGTTTTTCCTCCATGGCACTTACACGGTCCCACAGTTCGGAGGCACACCATTTCATCTCATTGCGCAACTCGCAATTCATCTTAACTGCATCTTCCAGAATGAACCTCAGTCGTGCCTCCTGTTCCTCTTCTTGTTGACGAAGATGCTCAAGTTGCATTCTGTAAGAATCGAATTTTTCTGACAAATCCTTGTCCACCTTATTCTCAAGCTCCTCACGAACCCTTCCAATGATAAAGCTCTCAAACTCTGCTAGATGGCCGTCGACGGATGCCATGACGTTAGGGATGAATTGTTCACTCTCTATAGAATCCCCAGACTGCACACGCCTCCGTTGCTCCGATTGGAAATATTCACTGATATCATGTTGAATCCTCCGGCAAAAATCACTTGATTGCCGCGCCTCCACAAGAGCCTGCGCCACAGCACCCCGAAGCAACTTCAACTCCGCATTCACGTCGGGGTGACCGTGACTCCAGGAGTCTGGTGGCGTAAGTGCCTCACTCATTTTCCAAAATTTTCTTCAACGCATACCCAACATACAAAATAAATACATCAAAAGTGGAAAAAGGGGAAAAAAGCAATGAAAATTTAATTTGGTAGCAAAAACCACACACGCACAGATATATAAACACACACACAGAAAAAAAAAAAAAAAAGGGAGATTCCGCAATTAGGAAAATAAAAGAACGAAGCCATTGAAGTGCATAGAAAGTAATAACAAGAGCAATAATAACAATAGTAGTAATAATACACGACACACATCATAACAGGGGAAGCTGAGACATTGACTTCATGAAGCCACAGCTAACCCCACGAAGCAGTCGAAAAAGCAGAACTTTTTCGTAGGTGAAGATGTCATGGGTAATTCATCCTTTTTTTTCTTCTTTTTGGTTGCACGTGTGTATCTACTCCACTTGTAAGAAATTCGGGAGTTCATGTAAAGCCTCAAGAACTTCCTCGCCGACAGGACCTTTCCTTTCGTGAAGGTTGTATACGAGAATTGCAACACTCTTGAACTTCGCGTTTAACTCGTCGTATCGCTGCATCATTGGTTCCGGTACTCCAGCATCTACGGTGCGGAAGGATGTAGCAAATCGACGGGCCTCGTCCATCTTGACACGAAACTTGTTGGTCATGCTTCTAAACACCTTTACTGCTGCGAGCAACGACGACTCGTGCCCACTGTTTAGGGCGCACGCAAGCAAATCGAGTAAATCGGGGAGGGTAGTAATGTTAATGCGTTCCTTCATGCGCATATGTTGCATCGCCATCAGAAAGTCGGTCAAAACCCCGCAGTCCGATTTATCTACACAGAGTCGCTTTAGATACTCCAAGGCCTGTAAAGAGTCACGCACCCAGAGTGAGCGAATGACTCGGATGTGTGTTAGCCGTCGCCGAAGCACAGAGAGCATAGACGCACTTGACCCAAGTAAATCTTCTACTGGCGAGTTGGGCAAGAACTCGGGGGACCTTGTGGGCGCAGTTTCAGCACGCACCTGTTGGTTCTGCTGCTGCTGGGGCTTCAGTATTGTATTCCCTGCAGACCCCGGTGTTCTCTCCACCTTCCATACAGAAGAGAACTTCAATGACGGTGTACCCATAGAGGTTACAGGATGGGAAATGGCATCTTTGCCACACCCAAGAGAAAGTCGACCCATTGTCGCCGCCCCACTGCTGAATTCAACAAACCAAGCCTCATCTAATAGAGAGGAATAAGTTAAGTCGCCAATAATATTCCATGGTGACTCAATGGCAATGGCTGTATTGTCACTCATCATTGTAAAATCATAAACACGCAAAACATGATAGGCTGCCAAAAGCAATTTCTTTCCATATAGATGCACGGCGTCAACGGGTGTGTCGAGCGGATTGCTCTGAAAGACCTTCGTAAACTTCTCTAATTCCCACAACGAGACGGAACCGTCACTACTACCTACCGCCATATAATACTGCTCAGGATGAAAATGTATAGATGTGATAGCCCCTTCATGGGCCCTAAACTCATTTAACTGCTTTCCAGAGACCAAGTCGTACAATCGTATCACACCTTTGGCGCAACCACTGGCAGCCCAGCGGCCATTTGGGGAAAATTGGGTGGCACATAGAGGTGCTGATGCCCCTTTATAAGACTGCAAACATGTTTTTTTCCTTGTATCCCAAATACGAAGACTCTTGTCTCGCGAACAGGTGGCAATGAAGTCCGTGTAACGGTGATAATCTGCGCCCGTAACAGTTGACTTGTGGCCTGCGTCAAACGAGCGAACAGACTGTTCTGTGGTGACATCCCAAAGACGAACGCCACCACTATCACTTCCACCCACCACACGGTGCTGCTGCGGATCAAATGCAAGGGCCGTCAAGGGCGAAGCGTCGCCTTCCAGGCGTGCGGCACGGGAATAATCCTCGAAAGGATACACGTAGACCGCACCGTCCTTCCCCCCGAATCCCACTAACTGTTGGGCACGATTAGGGCTGAACCTCGAGCAATACACTTGGCAGGGAAGCTGTAACACGGAAGTGGCCATAACAACCTCGTATCTAATTTTAAGAAAAAAAAAAAAAATCGGAAAAACAACGACAACAAAAAACGCAACACAAAAATTACCCACAAAAACACACACACACAAAAAAAAAAAATCCTCTAAAAAGAAAAAAAAAAGAAAAAAAGACAATAGGGTTCTCCTTCTGTTTCCTTTTTTCCATGGAAGTGGGGGTAGGCAGATATAAAAAAGAAATTTGAGTCAATGCATGACAAAGAAGTGATGTTTGTGTATTTGAGTTCAATAGCCGTGACGCATCAACGTACTGCCTTTCCCACCCTTTCTCAACGCAACTTGCGTAAACTGCTTTCACTCACTCCGTTCTCCAAACACACACACACACACACACACACGTACACGAAAGAGAGTGGAAGAGAGAACAAGAGATAAATTTAATAACAGAGCTCCATCACTAATTATTTCTCCCTTCTTTCATGTTCACGTTCTCTTGTTTCATCACATTGTAAAATACTTCCCATCTGGGAGCTTGATGGCAATAAATTTCTCCTCCTCAACAACACCTTCATCTGTTGCGTGTAACAATTCAAAGCAAGGAACACAGTAGGGACAAGGGCTATTGGGTGAAAGCTCATCATTGTAGCAAGCGATGGTGGCTGCAAACTGTCGACACATGCGGCAACGCACAACGCGAGTAGGCGCCTTCATGACACGCTGAGGATATGCCCCCTTCTCATAGTGATACCGTTTCATGCCTCGAAGACTCTGCACGGAACTCAGGTAGAAGTAGTGAGTGCACCATCCAATGTGTCGGATGACGCCAAATTCCCCGAGTCGTACATCCAGGTCCGCAAAGGTGGTCTCCGACATGTACTTCACAGGACATCTTCCAAATGCCAAGTTTTGCGTGTTCCCAGGATCCACATCTTTCAAGGGTTGAAAGTAACGAATTGGAGCCGTCAAGTCATCGTAGTTTTCGCCCTCAATTCCCGCATGACGATTATCAACGTAGAAAGTCCCACCAATAAAAATAAATGCGTTCTTAGACATGTTTACAGGTAGACAATTGCGACACTCAAAGGCATCGAGCAGGGCACCAAGAGTCTGGCAAGAAAGCACTGCCCAGGAGTCTTGCACCTCTAGGGATGACTCCGGAAAAAAAAACGTAAATTCCCAACGATGGGAGTGCTCCTCTAAGCAAAAATCCTCCGAGGCATCTCGCACACTCCAGCGTGAACCCTCCGTGATGGCATTTTGCTGGTGGCGCCTTGGCTTGCTGAAGATCCCATGGTTGACATTCTCTAGTGCCTTTAGATGAAGTTGCCGTCCGTCAAACTCCTCTTCAAGGGCACTCTGCAATTGCCTCACGGGCTCCACATCCACAAGAAACTGAAGAAGACTCGGGCGTTCTCCACACTCCGTATACTCTTCTTTAATATGTGCCAGCTGACGCACACTTTCTTCCCGTACCATTCTAGCAATCCTTTCTGTCTTGGAGAGAATTTTACGCGGGCGAAGCACCGGAAGCGATTTCATCTCCTCCGCAACAAGCCCATCCAGTCTTGCATTCAGTGAACGTAACGCCTCTTCCATGCGTCCAATGGTGAAATAGTTGCCGTACGGATTTCCCTGTTGATCCAGCAGCGGAGGCAGATGAACCAGTGTCCCGACAGGCAGTGGCTCCAGGTGACTGTACGAGTTCAGCCCGGGGTTGAGCTGGCGGAGGTCGGAGATGGAAAGCTTCGCCCGCGCGGCGATGGCAGCGAGTGAAACTTCGCGTTTGGCGTCGACGAGGACGGCAAAGGGATCCAACGCCCCTCTTGACGGCATTTCCCCCAAATTGCTGCCGCAAAGGCACTCCCCAATCCCTTATTATTTACGTGTCCCCTTCTACCCCCTCTCAGGTCTTCCCGCACGACCACTAATTCTTGACTCTGCCGCCTGTCACCACAACTTCCGTTGGCCCCTTCCCCCCCTCCTTTCACAATCGAAAAACCGAAGAAGAAAAAAAGAAAAGAGAAATAGAGCATAAAATTAAAATTATATCACTAAGCAGGTATTTACAATACATCCGCACAGCGGACGGCAGCTATATCCATCTTCTCAGCCACTCTGGGAAATGGATGATATCTTCTTTCCCATTTAAATTTTGTCAGACAAAAAAAAAAAAAAAAAAAAAAGAACTACATACTGAGCGGGAAAGAAAACAAAAACAAAAAAAAAAAAACAAAACACGCGTGTACTTACATACATATATACATGTATGCTTGCACGTTGGAAAAATCAACATTTTTTTGTTATTCCTACTCCTTTTGTTTTTCTTTTTTACTTGTTTCCTTTTCCTTCGTTTCAATATATATCACATGTTCTTTTCCTCTCTGTCTCTGTCTCTCGCTCTCTCTCCCTTTCTCTCAATTTATTCAATGAAAAAACCGCGAGACAACACTCAAATAAAACTCAACAACAACGACAAAAACAGAAGAATCTAAGTGCCGTACAACGGAGGCACATTCTGGTGATGAAAGACAAGTGCCAAAATGAGTTAGAAAGAAAAAAAACAACCTCGGCGCGGACTCACGTCGATAGCGTGTTGAGGTAAAAATCCACAATTTGATGACGGAAGGACACATTTCGCAAGATATCTGTTCTACCCTGTGATAGAAAAAGACGTACGCAACTGATGGGTTCCATATGATAGTATTGCATCAAGTATGCAATGCAGAGTGTCACACTTCTATTGATGCCTGCCACACAATGAACAAACACTCGACGACCCAATTTTTTTGCTTCGTTAACGATGGCTGCAAATTGATCATAACAGTGAAACAAAATCAAATAATCGCCTTGATCCTCCGCATACAGGTGATGAACAGTAAATTCCTCACGCACGCTATCAAGGGTGTCATACTCCCCCGCACAGCAGTTGATAATTGTATCGACCTTTTCACGCCGCAAAGTTTCCAACGTCTCTTCATCAGGAAAGCCGCCCACGTAGAGACCTTCGACGAGAGATGTCACTGCCGGTTCCAAACGCCAGGACGAGTCTCGTCTAGCGAGGGCAAGCTCTGAGTCTAGACTGGCTCGGAGCTGCAATTCCTCACGCATCAACTGGGGTGTACAGAACGCTGCTGGCGGGTGAGCAATGTCTACTCGAGTAGCCCTTGGTGTCAGCAACTGACTTGGCCGCGTCTCTGGGAGAGCATCAACCGTGTACCTAGAACTCTCCCGCCATTGTGCGGGTTGTGACGGAGGTGAACAGCTCCGTCCAGTCATGTATTCCGAGAGACGGTGGTAACAAACAAAAGGACTGCCATCGGGTGATATGCTTTCACGCGGAGGAGTGCAGGGGCGAGCCGTAATGTGCATCTCCTTACTCGCGCCTGACTCAATAGTTAAATTTTCTTTTCTTTCAATTCGCTTTTTTTTTTCGTTGAGGAGCAGGGTGCGCCTAGGGGCAAAGGGACCTCCTGAAGATGAATCCGCTATTCGAGCAGACAAGAGAATAAAACTAATCTCTTGACGTCTCAGCTAAACCCACCCTCTTCCCTTGGAAAAACAAACAAACAAGAAAAGAAATACAACCAACCACACCTGAAGCATACAAGCAAACAGTTTCTCCATGCAGTAATGCACAGAAAGCAGGAGGGGGGAAAAAAAGAGAGAGAAGGATGCCCTACACAAACACAAATAAATTAACCGTGGAGGCGTAATGAGGGTAACGTGTGTGTATATCCCAGAATGGAGATATTAACTCAAAGTTCATGCAACATAAATATTCTGGCCTTCTTGCGATGCTTCGGGCTCAATTTTCGAATGGCTTTGTCGTTTTTAATCTTCTGAACCACCATGTTTTTCTTCTCATTCTCCTTTTTTCGCTCCATGTTTGCCCTGCGCGACTCCCGGACCCGCTCCTCCTCTTTTTTGAGGTCATCGCGCAGCCTCTTCGAGAGCTCACGCACACGCCTTATATCTTCTTGCCTTTTTAACTTCTTACGCAGTTTTTGCGGGGTATTCGCCTGTTTCCCCCTGTTGTTGGCGCGCCGTGGCCTCCGTGGCTCCTTCGGAAGTCGTCGCTGCTCCAACCGACCCATTTGCAACACACGTGCGCAGGCGCAGCTCCTCACACCGACACAACTACAACAGGAAAAGAAAAAATGGATGAAAAAGAAGAGAAAGCGTGCGTAACAGGACGCATCCACAAGTCAACGGACACCCCACATTCCTCCACCTTTGTAGAGAAACTCATGCATCACCACTTGTGAGACAGGGGGGGGGAATACAAACAAAAGTGGACTTCGCCACATTCGCACACTGAACGCACGAGTGGACTCATCCGTTAAAGAAAGTAAAAAAAATTCTACATTTTCGATGCCACTCTCCCTTCTTCTCTTCCTCCATTCTCCGGTTGTAAACAGAGTATCTGTTTACAATAGCACAAACCTTGAGAAGAAAAAGAAAAAAACAGCACAAAAACAAAGGATCCATAGCACACAGCCACACAGAAAAACACAGCAGTGATATTTTTAAAAAATTCAACATGATCAAACATCGCTTTGTTACAAAGCTCTCAAATGTGGGACCATTCCCGACTACACTCTGCGCATGCTGGCTTTGAAAAGTCGGCGCTCATACTTGTTCCCAAGCTGTTGCTGCAAGCTGTTTCTATACAGGCGCTTGTAAATTGTCTCAATCTCGGGCTCAAGCGAATCCAAAATATCAGAAACTCGTTGCGGAATTGCAATGAGTTTTTGTACATGCTGTTTCAAGGGCTTCCCTTCACACTCAAAAACCAAACGAAGGAGGTCAAGCAACTCTACATGAAGGTTCAGTAGTTTTCTTGCGCTGGGAAGGTTTCCACCCATGGCCTCCAGCAATTCTTCAAGAGCCTCATCAACTTGCACGAGGTGCTGCAAAAAAAGGTAGCGAATGGTTTTGTATTTGGCGAGTGAAATCGCTTTAAAATCCAAAGACTCACTTGGATTCGCCTCTACATGAGCGGCCTCAAACTCATCAAGTAGCCGAATACCGTTGCTAACCATGTACTCATGAAGAATCTCAATAGCGGTAGGATCCAAAAAGTTCTGCAGATAAGCCATATTTTTGTCCACCTCCACGCAACGTGTGATAAAGTCCGGAAAGGGCGGAAAATTGACCAAAACACTTTCACGGGTGTTTGGTGGAAGAATGCCCAGCGAGATGAGCACCTGAAGAGTGCACCGTCGCGAGTCACGTCGTTCAACGTACTTTGCATCCTCAGGAATTCCAAAATGTTTCATAAAACTCGTCACCCGCTCCTTGTCAAAGTAAACGCGCCACAACAAGTGGGGGATCTTTTGTGTTCCTCTAAACTTGTACCAAACAATAATGGGGACACCAATGAGAATGCCGAGAAGACCAAAAAGTACCAATCCATCATGTTCACGTGACGTAAGGAAGCGCGGAAGAGCAATTCCTACGGAGAACTCGTGAGTGTTTTTAGACTCCTCCTCTTCAAATGCTTCACGGTCCACAAGGGCTTTGTATGCGCGACGCACCTGAACGTAGATGACTCGTGCCTCATCCGTCTTGTTGTGATCCGGGTGATATCTCTTGGAGAGGGCGCGGTACGCCTTCTTGATTTCACTCGTCGTGGCAGAAGGGGCGACCCCGAGAATTGCATGCGCGTCAAATGTGAGCGTCACATACATTGCTGAGGAGAACAAAATCGCCCAGAGCCAAAGCACCAGTATTTTTGGTCGAAAGGTAAACTTGAGAAACTTTGGCATCACACAACGTAGAAAAAAAATCTTTTCGTCCCAGCAGACGCGTGCGCCCGTCGCCAGCATATCCGGGTTCATCGCCAGCATGGCCAACGCCCGCGGGATGTACGTAAGCGAGTCCCACATACCCTCAATGGGACTCATCATCCCGGATCGCTTCTTCCTCGAGGAGCCGTAATACTCAACGGCGGATCGCACATGACGAATAAGCCACGGAATGTAGAGAATAATCATCACCACCGAGACGATGGCAAATGCAAACGAAATGAAACTTTCATCGCTCCCACCAATCCCACCGCCATCAACCATCCTTATCTTCTTCCTTACGGCTCGAAGTTTGACCTTATTATTATTATTGTTATTATTATATGTTTTATTTTATTTATTTTTTTTTTTTTATTTCCTCGTCTCCTCGTGTTTTTCCTTCTTCTCTTCTTTCCACGCCCGATTGGATCCCTCTTTTTTGTGTGTACTTGAAGAAAGAAAGAAAATCCAAAACAAAATAAAATGGCGGGCAGGAGAGAAGAGTCCACGGGCACAAAGACATGTGCATGTACGTGTCCGGTAGTCTTAAGCGCAAAGGCCCTTCCTCTGAGTCTTTCATCGTGGGTGTAAAGCAGGCAAAGCATCGACTCAAGAAAAAAAAAAAAAAAACCCTCCCCGGGAGGAACATCCATGACTCACTCTTGCCGTGCCACAAAGACGACGGTACCGGCGCGCATCACACGCTAGGGCCTTTGAGCACCATCACTTTCATCGCCCACAAAAACAGAAAGAATGCCAATGCGAGAAGAAAGTGTCCAGGCCGCAATTCCCAAATTCCTTTTTTTTCTAAATCCCTACTACGGATGCCTTCATGAGGGATGATCACTCCAACAGAGTCACCCAGTTCTCGTAGCGTCTTTGGGGGCGAGAAGTTCATCAACGACAACAAACAAAATGCGGACAATACAGAAAAGTGTTGAGAGGCGCAAAGGAATTTATACTAAACAGCCATTTAATGCGTGTGTGTGTGTGTGTGTGTTCGTGCCGTCGTTTCGAGTATGAACGATAGAACGAGGAATGCAAGAGAGAGCTAAAAAAAAAAAAAAAGGTGAGAGAAAAAGGACGCACACGCACAACAAGAGCCAACAAATAAACCCCCTTTAAAGAAACAACAATGTTTTTCACCTCATATATATATATATATATATTGGTACTTAAATGAAATTACACAAGGGACCAATCATAAAACAAAACAAACCCAAAAAGGAGTTGAGGGCAAAAAAAAAAAAAAATGCCACCACTCGCAGTTACTCGTCGGTACTCTCCTCTTCACTCTCGTAGCTGTCAAATTCATCGTCTTTATCAATAAGAAATGGATGCATGAGCAGCTCCGCAATGGTAGGACGACCTCCCGCTTCCTCCTGGAGACATTGCACGACAAAACTGACAGCAGAAGGACTCAACGAATTGACATCGGGAGAGAGAACATCAACCGCTAACAAATCTTCCGTTTCCAACACTTTTCCTGCAGGTGCCAAGAGCTGCAAAAAGACGGCTCCCAGCGCCCAAATGTCAGCACTGTAACTAAACACAGAATTACGCTTGATCTCCGGCGCACAACCGCGCCAAACTTCTCGTCCCACATCACTGGAAGGCGTAAACAAGTCTATAGGAAGCACATGTTGCGTTAGGACAATTCTTCGTGAGGCATGATGCATGCGAAGCACCTCCAGACGTAAGTGGCCATGCACCAATCGACGGCTATGAAGAGCATATAAGGCCCGCAAAACACCACGCACCACCCAACGTGCCTCCTCCTCGTTAATAGGATGTTGTAACGGCTCCAAGGGAACCTCAATTGGAGACTCCGCCCTAATTATGAGATGACGCGGCGAGAGCCGTGCGTCCTTGTATTCAACTAATAAAGGGGACACGGGCCATTGAGCTAAAAGATCAATTCTCCGTCTAACGGCCTCAACCTTGTCGACAAAAATGGCATATTTTCCTATTTGAATGTCTAGCATGCACTGAAAAAATCCCAATCGCAAAAAAAAAAAAAAGGGAAATGCGTACTTTTACACATGTGCATGGAGACTGCAAAGGCGTGTCTGCACACCATCTTCTTCTTCCACACTCCTCCCCGCTCATATTATTCCGCGGAAAAAAAAAAGAAAAACAAAAAAAGGGGATTTGATTCTTTCACCAAGCCCATTGATGTATGAGGATGTTCCTTTTTGAAATTTGTTCCTCCTCTTTTTCCTTCTTCCAAGACGGTCATTGCTTCTCCTTGCCGCTATTCCTGCCAACACCCGCAACCTCAGGGATGAAGTCCTCTTCGCAAAATTCTTCCTGCGTTGCCTTCCATCCACCTGCTGCAAAGTTGGCTCCCTTTCTCGATGGCAATGTCGCCGGCTTTGCTGCTCCCGCAGAAGAGGGAATAGAAGACCACCTACCCATCGGACGCGCGGTTTCTCCTCGCATGATGGGGTTCATGCCCCTTGTGGAGACACCAGCGGTGCAACGACTGTGAGGCAAGTTTGGCGACGTTGCCCCTGTGTCCCTAAGAAGGCCCGTATTCTCCTCAGACTCCGGATTAAACAAATGAGTTAGGTACGGAAACTGCACACACATCCGTGCATGAAGGTCATCAACTTTTTCAGCCGTCTTCGCATTGTCCAGCTCTGGCTGTTGGAGTGGAAAGTTAAACCACGTGCGAAATTTACTGGAGCGCAAGAGGAAAGGCTGGATCAAACCGACTAAACTCATCCCAAGAAAATAAAGAGCCACTCCCGCGCGAATTTGCGCCACAGCGGGAAGGATACAAAAACAAGCGAGTCGGCCTCCCCAAATAAGATTTGACATCCATCCTTTTTTGAGTTCTTTGCTAATAGACAACTCAAAGTTCATCAGGGTCAAGACGCAGAAGGCTAACGGAAGAACCCCATACGGATCCGGCATTGTAAGTGCCGGGCACCATAAGAAGGAAGAAGTGCCGAAATCAAGTCGTGGATCCCCACACATGGCCGTCGTTTGGACGATGCCAAAAAACACCACCGGTGTCCCTAGTAACGATGAAAAACACTGCAGATTCGACGTTTTTTCCTCCAAAAAGACGCGTCGGCGCTCTCCCTTGAGGGCAGTGGCGGCAAGCTGAATATCCAGTGCTGCCGATCCCTCGCGATAATACACACGCTGAAACGCTTCATGCGGGGTCTTCAGCCGCCGCATCGCATTCCGCATTCTTTCCGACGCACGCTCCCCGTAAAGCGAAAAGTGAAGATACAGAGTCGACTAAGAG